TCCCTCTGGCTCATCTGGCCACCGGGGGACTCCTGCCTTCTCGACTGGCCACTGGGGGTACACTGACCCAAAAAGGTTGAAAACCCCTGAGTTAGACAAAAGTGTTAGTGGAAAGAGATGGTTTATGTCCTTTGTGCAGTGTAGATTATACAAAACATCAGATATCACCTCCAGCCAGAGTTCTTTGGGCAAATCAACCTGGTAAATGAAAACAGTACTGAAAGGGTAAAAAAAAATCCAAGTCACTGGGTACATTTACACATTCATTAATGCACAGTGGTTACTGCACATTTAATTTCGTACTTGTATAATTAAGAACTTTTGTGATGCCTTTTTAGTGATAATACTGCGTGGTCGTGATAGCCTAATACTGCGCAGTCCATCAGTCCATACTGTGATGCACTACTGCGCAGTGTTATTAGGCTACTGCGCAGTTACCGTCTTGTGTAGACACTCCCACTTAGTAGGAGAAGTCTCATTTTCAAAAGTGCCTAAGTCATTTGGGAGCTCAAATCTCATTCAAAATAAATGGGACAGGCTCAGGTGTGATTCAGATGCTTTAAAAATGGGATTTAGGCTTCAGTCACTTAGCCTAATTTTACCCAAAGAACCCACCATGATTTATGTAGAACCTGGAGAGTGGGTAAGACATTTTTTCATCGGTACACTTCATTTTCTTACCTTTCCTCTCGATCTATGAGGTGGCGGTATGTTTCAATCTCGTTTTCCAGATGAATCTTGATATCTAGGAGTTGTTCATACTCTGCATTCTGCCACTCCATGTCATCCCTGATCTGCTGTATTTGGGTCTCCACGCTGCTTATCACCACTTGTATTTGTGAAAGTTGAGCACAATAGCGAGCTTCTGTCTCTGCCAAAGTAGCTTCAAGAGATTGTTTCTGACAGAAAAGAGAGGTGCTTGATTCTAATTTGTGAGAGTCAAAGTAGAAGCTTGTGTTTTAACCATGTGTGATATTAAGGTTAAAATGGCACCTTTTAACACTCAATATAACACCTGACTTGACACTTAATTGTTGATGCTTTCCGCTGTCTGCATTTGTCTCAGAAGATTAGTTTCATTGTTTATATATTATTTTAAGTTCAATTAGTGGTGTTTGTAATAGCATAATGCAGTGGTGCTCAACTGTTTTGGCAAGCAGGCCAGATGGGCAGTGCCCAGGGCATCTGCAGGTCAAATCCAGCTGGTGGTCCTGATTCAGCATAGGGCGTTCATGACAGGGCCCCATCCAGCAACCTGGAGAGGGACAGGAGGCATCCTGGCTCCAGCTTGGCCCTGTGGCGGGGAAGGGAGGAGGCATAGCCCAGCCTGGCAGTGGAAAGGGGGTGTGGCCCAGCCTCTTCCCCAGCCCAACAAGGGAAGGATGCTTGATCTGACCCCATGGGGGCGGGGAGGGGGCTTGATCTGGACCCGGCCTGGCTCCACAGGGGAAAGGGTGTGTGGCCTGAACTCATCCAGCCGCAGGGGTGGGGGCAGAGGGTATGATCTGGCCCCAACCTGTTGTATGGGGCTTGGGAATTTAGCAGTGGGGGAGGGTGGCTGTATTTATTTCCCCCCCCCTCCCCCCCCACCCAGGAGAATGCCACAGTCAGGATACGTTAGTGTGTCCTAAACATTTGATATCTGGGGCACGCATTTTATCTTGGTGGTACACTGCACTCTTACACCTAAAAAGGTGCATGTGTGCGCGTGCGTTCGTGTGCATGCATGCAAGACTCACACAGTGGTCCTCAACATTTTGGCCCCGGGGACCAGATGAACAGTCTTGTGTCAATACACAGGCCAGATTTGATTTGTGGGCCCGATCCCCACCAAAGCGAGGCTGGCAAGGCTGGGGCCTGATTCCACTGCACAGAGCTTGGATATTCATTGGCAGGAGCGAGATAGCAGTGTTAATTGCCATCGTTCCCTCACCACCAAATTTCTGGACCCATGGGGAGTTCTGCAGGCCAGATCTAATGCTAATAAAGTATTGTTTTATGTGGCACACTTTTGCCACTCCTGTGGCACACTATTGTGCCATGGCACAACCTTTTGGAATCACTGATCTGCTTGTAGGAGTTTACACTGTCTTCCTCTTCCTATTGAGCTCTATGGATACTCTCAGCATCAAATAGATGCTCAGCATGCTTTGTCCTAACCAAAGGAACTGGGGGCTGATGGTCAGCTTGGTTGCTTCCCAGCACTGATTTGTACTGTAAGAGATTGAGGGAGGAGATAGAGACCTAAGTGGTCAATCTCACTCACTTCTGAGCATGTGCAGTGCCTTAAGTTGAAATAACTATGGATCTTTTTAGGCCAAAATGGAGGCACCAAAGAAACTATTGAGCAGGGTTGATTATGATCCCATTTTGTAATGTACCACCTAAATTCTGCCCTAATCCTGGTTAGGGACCTACAAATTTAATTAGAATCTGGCCCTTCATATCTTTTGTAATGTTACCACTAGCTATTGAGCATTTTATCTTTTAGTACAGAAGCTGTTGACAAGATAAAATACAAGGAAAAGTTATCAGACAGACACACAATTATTAGTTAAATAAAATATGTAACATACAGGATGGTACCCTGTATCATTGAAGCCAAAGACAAAATCACCAGTGATTTTACTGAAGACAGAATTTTAACCAAAAATATTTGAGAGTTTACATTTTCAAAGATACATACCTGAGTTAAGAGCCTAAGACTCATTTTCAAATGGGACTTAGCCTTCTGAAAATGTTACCCATGATTTTTAGAAGGGAATCAAAAAGGTAAACATTCCCATACCAGAGCAAGTTGGGATTTCATCTCTATCTCCAGACCTTGAAAAGTGCGTTTTAGTTCAGTAATCTGACTCTTATTGGTATTGGTCTCCTCAGCACTGAAGTTGATCTGAACATTCAGTTCTTTGCTCTGTATTGCAATAACAAAAAATGTAGTTTAGTGAAAAAAGATTGAAGTTTTGAAGCCTTTGTTCAGAATGCTTCAGAACACGGAATCAACTTTCAGAAACTTGTTACCTGAAACATTCTTACCTTTTCATTAAACCAGGTTTCAACATCCTTGCGATTCTGCTCTGCAAGGGCCTCATATTCTGTTCTCATTTTATTCAGACGTGTAGTAAGATCAATTCCTGGAGCAGTGTTAATTTCTACATTAACATCAGGAGAGGCTGAGCTTCTCAAATCGTTCATTTCCTAAATGAAGAGGACAAATGAAGACTTTGGGCTTGATCTAACAAGGAACCAAGGAACAGATTTTTAAAGATATTTAGGTGTCTAATTCCCACTGATATCAATGGGAGTTAGGCACCTAAAATACCTTTAAATATATGATCCTATGTACTCTAGATATGTGTTTAGGTTACAGAGTAGCTTAAGTGACTTGTGTAATTCTGTTCCTTCTTGTGTCTTGTACATTTGTGCAAATTAATGGGGCCAAGGTTTACCTTACAAAAGAGTATGAATAACAATGAACAATAGTGAAGAGTAAACTCTACTTCTAAAAAATGGCCTACATAGTATTTTATAAAAATAGCTGTCATTTTATTATTAATTTTGCACCTGAACAATTAAATGCTTAATTTAAAAAGAGACACAGCATTATGCTTTTAAAATTTTATTATAAATACCTTGGTATTTTAAAACATGTACCAAAATGTGTTTTTTTTCTGGACGTAAGCCCAAAATTTTGTTCTGAAGATAGCTAGTAGCTAATAGATCTGTTTGGAAAGATAAATCAGAGCCTGTTAAATGGTTCTGTGGTAGTTTGGCCAAGAGTCTTCACACTCACAGAGTAGGGCAGGGAAACAATTAAAAACACTTTAAATAAAGATTACCAGCTGTCAGTAAAAGTTGCCACTTGTCTCTTAATCATGGAAAGAAATTTGCTCTCGCATTTTCTGATTGCACATCCTTACAATGGCACAGATGTCCATCGTTTTCCAAGTTTTTATACCTTGAGACATCCTAAGGTACTTCTCTTCATTTGCCAAGAAATATTAATTATCAAAGTTTATTGCTTTCAAATATAAATACTTGTAAAATTGCAGTAAATGTCCCCCTCATTGCCAATTAGAAATCCTAACAAATATCCAACTGGTGTAATTGCAGCAATTCAATTAAACATTCCACAAGCTTTGATTAAGGGTCAGTGCATAGTTGTGCTCCCCTATGAGCAGGCCAGAGACCTTACTATGACACACACATGGTGCTTGCTTCCCTATTTGTTTTGGATGGAATTATATGTGCACAAGATTTGTACCTGGTATTGATTACTTACTTCATGCTATTACAGCTGTGTTGACTAGTGCATGAGTGGCAGTGTTAAGAAGCCAAACCTACATTTACTTCCCCTGCTGCTATTTTCTTTGAGTGAGGAGCAGTGACACTGCAGGTATGATTTCCTTCAGTGTTAATCCCTGAAGTCTATATAGCTCACACAGGGACTAAAAAAATAGAACCAAGACACCACCTTTTTCTTCTGCAGAAGTGCAAGATGAGTGTCTATCTCACTTGATATGATCAAATAAACAGTGACATTCTTAGCAAGATTTCATTAATTTCCTCTCTATATTTTTCTGAAAAACAGACTCCCTTATAATGTAAACCCCAAAGGCTAAAATAGCTAATCCTTCAGAAGAAGAATTTACAAAGATTTTCTGTGTTATTAATAAACATTCCAGGCTGGATCCTTAACTGGTTTAAATAAGCAACCTTCACTGATTGCAATAGATACACCAATTGACCCCCAACTGTCTCTTTGACTTTAGCTGTGCATAGATCGATCAGCAGTGCAACTGAGGGGAGAGGTGACCAGGGTACCAGCCCTGAGTGCTGAGTTAGAAGATCCAAAAAAAAAAAAAAAAAGCAGCTGCCACTGCCACTCTCCTAACTGTTAGACTGCTGCTGGTAGGCCAGTTGTGGCAACCTGGGACCTGTGGCTTACAGTGGACAATAAGCTGAATGTGAGCCAACAATGTGCCCTTGTTCCCTGGAAAGCTAATGGCATACTGGGCTGCATTAGGAGTGTTGCCAGCAGATCGAGGCAACTGATTATTCCTCTCTGTTCAGCACTGGTGAGACCACATCTGGAGTATTGTATCCAGTTTTGTGCCTCCCACTACAGATAGGATGTGGACAGATTGGAGGGAGTCCATTGGAGGGCAACAAAAATGGTTAGGGGTGTAGGGCACATGACTTATGAAGAGAGGCTGAGGGAGGTGGGCTTATTTAGTCTGGAGAAGAGAAGACTGAGAGGGAATTCAATAGTAGCCTTCAACTACCTGAAGGGCAGTTCTAGACATGATGGAGCTACACTGTTATCAGTGATGGCAAATGACAAAACAAAGAACAACGGTCTCAAGTTGCAGCATGGGAAATTGAGGTTAGATATTAGGAAAAGCTTTCTCCTAGGAGGGTAGTAAAGCATTATAACAGGTTACTTAGAGAGGTTGTGGACTCTCCATCCTTGGAGGTTTTTAAGCCCTGGCTAAACAAAGCCTTGGCTGGGATGATCTAGTTGGAGATGGTCCTGCTTTGAGCAGGAGGTTGGACTAGATCAGCATTTCTCAACCTGTGGGTCACGACCCAAGGTCACAAGAATATGTGAAAGGGTCATGAACAAACTTTAAAAATGGATCAACAAACTTTAAAGGAGAAAAATGTGGGAAACGGTGGCTTTTTCCTTGCAGGCTGGCAGAGTTCTAGCCCGTGAGGGGCTGCTCAGGGTCCCCCCTACCCCACACCCCCCACTACCCCACCCAGGGGATGGGAGGCAGTGTTGGGGGTGTGGGGCAGTGGGTTGTGACTGATCACTGATGTTTACAAATGGGTCCTGGTACAAAAAAGGTTGAGTACCACTGAACTAGATGACCTCCTAAGGTCCCTTCCAACCCTAATTTTCTACGATTCTCCAATTTTTAGTGCCTCGTGAGCCACTTCCACCCAGTTACACCTCTGCATAGATCCTACAATACCTCTTCATGATTCTTCTTGAGGTAAGCCACCTCATCAGCCAGGCTTTCAATCTGAATCTCCAGGTTACTTTTGGCAAGGGTTTGCTCATCTAGGACTTTTCGCAGACCACGGATGTCAGCTTCAACATTCTGCCGAAGGTATAGCTCATTCTCGTATCTAAAAAGAATTGTTTAGAAAACTATGGTCAGATTGCCATACCCATTATTATTGCTGCATAATACTCCATAAAATTCCAGAAAAAAATTAAACAATTTGATTAATTACTGAATGATACACTACTGACCATGACTGAGAATTACAGACTCTAGCTTTTAATTCTATGAATAAAAATGTATCTGTTTTTACCCTTTTAACTCATTTGTAAATTCTGGAAAACAGACTCAGTCAGAATTTGCATTGACTGCAAGATCTGGCCTACAGCAAATAGGTAGTTCTTACCTTTCTATCCCTTTTACATGTTTCATAAAACTTCACTAATATGAGTCATCATATTCTTTCACATATAAGACATACCTTTTAAAATTGTGTATTTCTTATAAATATTTTCTGCATCTTAAATTCAAATAAAAAAGGAAAGGAAGCTTTTATATGCACCATAGAGGTCATATCCATATAAATATTTCTCTTTGTGATGTTTCATTTTTTGTCTTTTAATATGAAAGTCCGAAGATTTGGTCAAGCATGTTATGCTTGAAGAAATAAGGAATAGGTTGCATTATGGAAAATGTAATTATAAAATGTTTTAGCAATATAACATTTTACAGCAAAGTTTAATCATTGAAGAAATCTGTGAAGATTTAAGAGAAATATTGCTTTTCAGGTTGATTAAAGCAGGTAATGAAAGATTCTTATAAAATTATTTGATAGTGTTTTAACGTTGCATTTATTTAATAGCTCATTTGCCATATAATTAATTCTGCTTACTTCACTTTGAAGTCATCAACAGCCAGCCTGGCATTGTCAGTCTGCAGAATGATACTGGCATTTTCAACAGTTGCAGCAATAATCTAAAAAATGGAAGGAGATTACTGAGGAAAAAAAGTATTTATTGGATTTTTTAGTTTTCTTTCACTTTGCCTGGGTCCCATTCTTTGGGTGAAAGTAGTTACAGTCAGTGGAACAGTTAATGTTAAGCAGTTTAAGAGCTGATATATTGTACTTATATGAGGAACTAAAATGAAAAAAATATTTGTTCATGTGGTTCTGTTTTTAAGAATTATTTCTTCAGTTTGTTCAGTTTCTCCTTTTGTCCATTCAGTATGACCCTTATTTTTCTTTTTCCATATCATTTTCTAATAGTGTCTTTTCATTCTTACTGCTTCATGAACACCTTGTAGGCTTACTTCACATACTTCACAAAAGTCACATTAAGATAAGTGAAAAGTGAATGTCAGGTGGCTTTAACTGAGTTGTCTTCATTATGAACATATCAAGTACATATTGGTTCCTGGAGTCCAATGTGAGAGCTACTGACTTGTTAATATATGCATAATGTAGGTAGATATATTTTATATTAACATTACAGTTAAAATAAGCAAATGCTTTGAATAGCTACTTTTTAGAATGGATACTAATTAAGCATATAAGTTATCCAACAAAAATAAATGGTTTCAAAATGATGTATTCTTACCTGATTCCTAAGGTCCTCAATGGTGGTATAGTATTTACTGTAGTCACGGGATCCTCCCTCAGTATATGACCCTAATGTCTCATACCAGTCCTTGATTTTGTGCTCAAGCTCTGCATTTGCTTCCTCCAGAGCTTGCACTTTGCCCAAGTAAGATGCCAAACGGTCATTAAGATTCTGCATGGTTTCTTTTTCACCACCAAAAAGAAGTCTGCCGTCACTACTATTATTACCAACAGCACCATAGCTAAAGTTATGAAAAGATCCAGCTGTACCACCTCCAATACCACCCCAGCCCAAGCCACCACACCAGTTTCCCCCAGTCTCATACATTCCCAGACCAGAACCTCCACCTAAACCATACACTCCCCAACAGGGTATTTTCATAGATGCACCACCAGTATGGCAGGAGGAAATTTGCCTAGACCCACAACCAAAGAAAGACATTATAGTAAAGTACAGGGTAAGTTTGCAAAGGCAGAAATGTAGCTCAAGGACAGACTGCAGTATAAAGACAGGGTCCAGCTTTTATATTTAGATTTATAAGGGAGTGTTCTTCTGGAACGTATTTTTCTTAACCCTATTGTTCTGTTTAGCAGTATATCATACGTATGCAACAAATAGTTATTAATAGCTAACCCAAATATTCCTGTTTGCCTGCTTTCCCTCAAATCATTTATGATGTCAATGTGGAAAATGGGTGGACCAAAATATACTAGACCACATTATACTCTTCATCTTTTCAACAAGATTGTGTAATTTTCTCTCTCTGCCCCACCCCCGCTTTGAACTTTTATGGGGGCATTCCTACTCTTTCTTTGATTTCTCATATACACACCTATATGATTGGAGGGTGTGAAAACAGCTTTCTTTTGGACTGGTTTTTGTTTTTCGTATTTCTTCAGCCAGGGTGATACAGTAATAGTTGTTCAGTTTCTGTTGTCTCTGGAGAGTTGTTTTTTTTAAATATATTTTTACATGCTTCTCTAGCTATGTAGAGCTTTAGAAAACATTCTCTTATTTCTTTGACTGTTTTGATGTGGTGCAATAAATGGTGATCAGTAACCAAAACTTGTTGTTTTATACTTTTAATTGTTTGCCTTTACATTGTTAAGAATTGAAAAAGAAAGATATGATGATTCAACAATGGTTCAGCAAATAAGGCTCTGTCATTTAATTGAGGTATGGATAGTATGAAACTACTTTTTGTATCTGAAAGGAAAGTAAATCTATTTATTTACATGCATGAACTGAGAGAGAATTATGATCTGCAACATACATCTGTAGAAGATTGGACAACATGGTAATTAGAGCACTGTATTGGGAAGTCAGAGAGAGACAGTGTCAATTCTCTCTGAATGAAGGGGAGGTGGGGTGGGCTGGGATCTAAGTTTTCTGCTTAGCTACTCTACTATTGGGACTAAACCATGGGAGGATCCTCCTCCTCTGCCCAGCATCTAATCCTGGTCAGTCATATATGTTTTGGCTGGGTAGGATTTTGTGATTTATGTATCCCTAATATACATATGGGCATAGTCATATACCTGGCTGACCAATGCATTGCTTACTGTATATGCTCAGTGGATGTGTGGATGCTTAGATATTCATACTGCATGTTGTCATGGCATGGGGTCCCCAGGGATGGCCGTGATGACCCTAGGGCTCTGTGACCGTGCCTGCTCTGCCCTGTGGGCACCTTCTAATCTTACCTGCCACATCTTGTTGGTTGAAATAATAAGTTGGGAGCCTGCCCACGAGTTTGTGTGGTCACAGTCCTGCTGAGTCCCTCTAGACCCTGCTGATCTTGGATCCTTTGCTGGGTCTCACTCAAAGTCAGTGCCTCTCATAACACCCTAAACCTTATGGGCTAGATGCATGGCTCCAAACCCACCCTTTTACCGTGCCCCATGCCTCACAGATTGTACTTAAATGTTGTCTCTTTTGATGAGGCCACCATTCAGCTCAGCTTCCTGTCGTCATTGGACCCTTTGCTCCTCTGGCACTGGGCTCCCTGCAGCCCTGTCTCTGCGCTCTCCTCCCCAAATGGCCTCATCCCAGTCCACTGGACTCTAATAACAATGTAAATACAAGCCCCTGGGCTATAATATAACAACAACAATAACACTGGAGGTCGCTTTCTGACCCTTTAAGGAGGCAAGCTTCTCCCTCAACAATGTGTGCCTCCTAGCCCCAGATGCTTTAGGAGCTCCTAGAGCCCATTAATCTTACCAGCAGCAGAATAGGCAACCAAGCATCTCTGAGTAGCATTTCTGCAAGAGCTCCTTCCCCCTAGCTGCTGACAGAGAACTAATTCCCTGTCAGCCCCAGCCCTGGGGCTTATATGTGCTCAGGGCCCTGTTTCCTTCTGGTCAGCTGACCAGGTGGAGGGTCCAGATAACACGCTGATTAGCCTGATGCCAAGGCTACCTGAAGCTGTGGAGCCCTGCTTAGCTCTCAGGGCTCCCTAGCTAAGTTGCCTCTGCTCTTGAAGGAGTAGGCATACCTTAGTGCCCTGTGACACGCATGTAAATAGAATTATATGCCATGTGCAAGTACCAGAAATGCCATTAATGTGACTGGAAACTACCATTTGGGCATATAAAATGAAAAAGAATTCTGCACTGGGTGTACAGAATTGTTCAGAGAAACAAGCACAAATAGTCAACAAAAGGGAACATGAAGAAAACTTCAAAAGGAAAAAAAAGTAATGTTTCTGAAGAAAAAGTGTGATACCTGAGCAGTCAATCACTGCTTGGTGTGTGCCAATTAAAAAAGAGCATGCAGTCTGCTGTGGCTAACCATTGTGGGTAGGGGTGCACCAACAGAGATTTTTTGAGCCAATACCGATGGCCGAATTTTAACAAGTCATATTGGCCGATACCAATTCAATTGCCGATATGCAGCCCAGCAGCATCAAGCTGGCAAGGCTGTTGGGGGAAAGGGGTGGGGGGGGAGATTGAGGCCCCCATGGTGAGGAAAAGAGTGGGACTGGGGCTGGGGCAGGTGCTGCCCAGCCAGGGCGTAGCGGTGTGCGGGATGGAGCTGCCAGTGGTTTTCTGGGGGGCATGGGGGAGGTGGCTTCTGCCACTACGCGCACCCTGGGAAGGCATGGGGGGCATGCGCCCTTGGATCTGTGCATGGGGCGAGGGTGGGCTGCTGCTGTGGGCTGGGGTTGGGGCTGCACTGAGCTCTTCCTGGCAGTGGGAGTGGTTCAGGCTGTGCTCAGGACAGGTGGTGGCAGTGCTGGGAGGGCAGCTATGGGGGTGGGGTTGCAACCACCCCAAAATTCACCATAGCCGCCACTTCCAATGTCACTGGTGCCTGCCTTGAGCACAGCCTGGCCCAACCCCCCACCAGGAAGAGCACGGCACATCCCCAGTCCCAACCTGCAGTGGCAATCTGCCCTTGCCCCATGCAGAGATCTGGGGGCACATGCCCCCCCATGCCCTCCTGGGTTGAATGTAGCAGCAGGAGCTGCCCTCCTCCCCACCCCCGACCCCCAAGATAAGCCTCTCGTGGCTCCGTCCCATGCCCCACTCCACCCTGGCTGGGCGGTGCCTGTGGCTGCACGCATGCATGGGGCATTTATCAGCAATATTATCAGCCACATCAGGCAAAAAAAGCTGATTGCCGATACTGTCAATTTTCCTTATGTTGGTGCCAATCCAATATAGGACCGATGTATCAGTGTACCTATAACAGTGGGGCAAAGTTCCACTAAAGTGTATATCAGATGCCTTTGGGTGCTTGTGGTTTAATTGCATCATCCTGTACACATGGTTGGGGGCGGGGGTTTATGATTGTAATGAGTTTTCTATGTTGCGAACTAAATCACATCCATATGTAGTTTAGTTTGCAATGTAGCTATTTCTGTCATTGCAGGTGTAACCTGGGTGGTACCCAGTGTACCCCCTCTCCAATTGAAGGGATCAGAGTAGGTGCCAGAGCACTGTGGGAGATGTAGCTGCCTGAGGTGCGCAGCACTCCTCATACTCCCTATAAAGAAGAGCCAGAATGTCCGTTAGGTCTTAATAATATAGCATTTAATGATGGGGGACAGGGGTTGGGACACCACATCAATACCAGGGAGTAATGGGTGTAGTCCTGTACCCAGGGGGAACAGACGACCTCAACAATGTTTAGACTTACTCATTCAATTGACAAGAGAAAGGTTGACAAAATATGAGATGCAGAGTAACAAAATATGAGACGCAGACACCCCGGAGGGGTGGGGGGAAAAAGAGATGAGGAACCCACCTCCCCAACAGCAATTTCCCCCCTTCACCTCAACTCACCCCTGAAATGCCTTGGCTAGGGAATTGAACTCCAGTTTCTAGTGAGGTAGGCAAGAGTTCAACCACTGAACTATTCAGACCTAGGCTGCTGCTTGTAGCTAGAAGTTCTAGTGCCTCCAGGGCCCTCCCTGTGTGGTCTGTACTCCAAGGAGAGGTTGGAGTTTTCCTGTGTGCTACCATGCATGCCAGAGGGGAACTGCCACCTGCAGCTCCCCAGCCATGCTGCCCCTGCAGCTCCCAGGCCGGGGATTCCCTGCCGGGGGTTGGATGCCCAAGCCACTGTCTGCACCTCGGGGATTTGCTGAGTGTGCCACCCCTGCACCCCGCTGCTGCCAAGCCGAGCCACTGCCCACAGTTTGAACTCTCCACTGGCTTCAAGGCCCTTCTGGGACAACTGCTCTGGCCTGGCTGGTCAGTTCTCACCAGCTCTTCAGTACCCCTGTTCTTTGTCCCTCATCAATCTCTTCCCAAGCCAAGTGTGTTGTCCCTTTTCTCCCCCTCCAGGTGGCCGGTGGGACCAATTGGGGGATGTGAGAGTTGAGTCTTCACTCAGGTCCGGTTTCTCTACCTCACCCCCGGGTGAGAGGGGGCAATCCTTCCCCCCTTCCAGGGACCTGACTGGTGGGGAAAAAGGAAATGCCCCCTCACCAATCATTTTTGATCTTTTCAAAACCCCCGGGCCAAGCCACCACTGGTTAGTCTGTCTCCCAGGCTTTGACATCTCATGCCCCTTTTCCCCCTCCCTCTGCTGTGGGAGAAGCAGGCTGAAGGCAGAAGCAGTGAGGGGCCCAATCCTTTTTTTTTTTTTAATGGAGCCTACCCATGTCTCCCACAGCTGTGGGGGGTGAGCTGCTGGTAGGTCAAGCAGCCCTTGAGCTGTGCAGAGCCCTGATCCTTCCTTCTGTAGTGGTGGTACCCCCTGGACACACCTGGGTGGGCTGCTACTGGATGGTTGCCACCCCAGTTCAGGCTCAGGGAACAGTTGGATTAGGTTGGGTGCTG